CGATGGTAGAAGTTACAGGACGATCAGATAAGGATTGGGCGAGATATGGTGCAGATAAGACCAAAAAAGGGTCCGAAATGGGGGTAACTTGCAACAAGGAGTTGTTGTTGGAGATCAAGATGAGATCAGAGTAATCTGAGGTGATGGATGAGATAATAAGAGTCCCAGAAGACGATGGTTACGATGAATAAGCAGTAGGACACTTGGATGGTGAGATATGAGGTCAGGAAGATGGCTAGAGCACAGGGCTCATAACCTATTAAGAACAAAGCTTGAAGGAAGTGTCTAGCCACTTGCTGAGAGCAATCAGGGACTGGAACTAGAGTCCAATGTGAGTAACTATATTATTAGAGAGTATGACAGGTATACAGTACCTAGAGTCCAATGTGAGTAACTAGAGAATAGGAAGCATTGGACTCTGCAGTACTGTCCGAAGTTTTGTAAACAAAGGTAAACAAAGCAGCCATAAAGGCGAAATAATAGGGAACACAATCAATAGTGAATGATAGAAGAATAGATAGAGAAAGGAATGAAAATATATAGGTAGCACAAAGGTGCAGAATCACCAAAACTAACAATGTCTGTCTATTGCCTTGATCCTTGCAGACTCAGGCACATAGATCTTGTCTTTAAGATGGAAGAGCCCGTCTTCCCATAAATAATTTTCATTGCTGTCAAGGCGCGCCTTCTCTTCTGAGGAGATGTCTTTCTTGAAGACTTCCAGAAGATCAGAATCCTGCCCAATTCTAACATTGGCAACCCTTGATTGGTCTATCAGGGTGACACCTTTGTTGTCATCTTCAATGCCGTTGGCATGATCCTCTCTTCTGGACAAAGTGTCCGCTTTCCCCATAGAGCTTCCAGGTTTATAAATTAATTTATAATTAAACCTTGACAAGTATACCGCGTAGCAGGCCTGTCTTCGGTTCAAGTCTTGGGCCGTCATAAAATACTCCAGATTCTTATGATCGGTCCAAATTTCAAATTGGTGCCTAGCACTTTCTAAGTAGTGCTGCTAGTGCTCTAAAGCTCTAATAATGGCCAGCATCTCTTTGTTGTAAATTTGATAGTTGCGCTCCGTAGGCAACAAACTATGTGATAAATAGGCGCAAGGCCTCCAAAAATCATCAGGGCATTTAATTGACAAGACAGCCCCAGTAGCAAAATCAGAAGAGTCGGTTTCTAGCCGGAACTCTTTGTCTAATTCTGGAAATGCTAATATGGGCGCCATTGTAAACGCCTGTTTAAGCTTATCAAAAGCTTCTTGTTCTTTGGCGCCCCAGTGCCAAACAATATCCTTTTTAGTGAGATCGTTCAACAGCCTTGTGATTTTTGTGAAGTTTTTGATGAACCTTCGGTAGAAATTGCCTAAGCCAAGGAAGGCCCTAACTCCTTTGATGTGAGTAGGTTCTGGCCAGTCCAAGATAGCTTGAACTTTCTCAGGATCCATCCTGATTCCGTTCTGGCCTATGATCATACCGAGGAAGTCTACTTCCTTCACTTTGAAATTACATTTTTCGGGTTTGAAGAATAGGTCCCGTTCCTGTAAGCGTTGAAGGACTTCTTGCACGATCCTGTCGTGCTCAGCCTTATCGTCCGACTTCGTAAATATTAATAAATTGTCAATGTAAATGACGACACAATTTTCCATATCCGCGAAAATCTCGTTCATCATGCTTTGGAAGGTCACCGGTGAATTGGTCAACCCAAAGAACATAACGAGGAGTTCAAAGGATCCTCGGTGGCACGTGAATGCGGCCTTCCAAGCATCTGTCTCTTTGATTCGTACATTATTGTACCCCCATCTGAGATCCATCTTTGTCAAGATCTTGGCACCAGCCAATTTGTCTACTAGCTGACTGATCAAAGGCAGCGGTTACGCATTTTACATGTGTGCTCATTCACGTAACGATAGTCCATAATCATACGCTTCTTACCATCTTTTTTAGGAATGAAGAACACCGGGGACGTCATAGGGCTTTTGGAAGGTCTGATGTAACCCTTCCTAAGCTGTTTGTCTATGAAACTTGATACCTCATCTCTTTCTGGAGCAGAGAGTGGTATCATGTGTCCTTTTCTCGGTTTGAAGGTGTCCTTCAAATCTATAGCATGGTCCCAAGGCTTAGCCTCTGGGAAGCGCTCTGATTTATGTTTTGAAAAGACTTTCCAGAAGTCATGGTACTTGGGAGGTACCAGCCTCTTAATCTCTTCTTCAGGTTTTACCTCCTCATCGTCATCGTCGATCTTTTCTAAAGATCTGAGCTCATAAATGTTATGACTAGCGCTTATCTTTTCTAGACGCTCATTGTGACGGACATGATTTGGTTTACCCAAGTTTACATACTCCTGAGGGCAACGTGACAATGTGACAACCCCTGTCTGCCAGTCAATCTCAGGATTGTGTTTGAATAGCCAGGTCCAGCCTAAGATTAAATTAATCTTCCCTAGTTGGGTAGCTTCGGCAGTGACTCGTTCTCTGTGTCCTTGGTATTCGACAACAAAAGAACATTTGTGCGTGATGCAGCCACCCGCGTTAAGCGTACCATCAATGTTATAGACGGGAATAGATACATCTAATTTTACAAGGGGGAGTCCAATTTTCTCCGCCCCGGCCTGATCTATGAAGATTCCGTTAGCGCCTGAATCAAGCAGTGCGCTGGTTGGGTGTACTATGCCTCGGGCAAGGTTTTCCACACCAATGTCTAGACGGATCTCTTTTTGGAATAAATACATGCGCATCAACACAAACCTTGGGATTTTGGGAAAGGGTGGCTCCAGTGAAGAAAAAGGGGAATCGAAAGTTACATGTTTTTCTATTTTATTTTTACCAGAATCAAGCACCCTATTGTTTGTCTCGCCGGGGCCACGCTCCAAGGGAGACGCTGGTGCAGCGGTAGTATCATAAATATTACAGTTACAATGTTTTATACAAGTATATACTTCAGATAACAAAATTAAAAATCTATTTACAAATTGGGGAGCCATCCCCGTCTTTCCTTTATTGCTCGTGCAACACCCCGGAGCAGGGGCCACTTTGTTGTGGTTTACTTCATTGTTTTGTGGAGCGAAGGCACCCAAGTGATCTAAGCTCCAAACTCTTTTCCCTGAGCCTTCATTTCATTGACCTGTTGGTCATAGAAGAAAGCTCGGATTTCGTTGTACGAACGACCGGCCAGAGTATTGAGCCGATCGTCCGGTTTTTCAGAGTCTAATTGGCGCACCTGGCGCCCTTGGTTATTTTTTTGTTGAGCGGCCTGCGCTTCATTTGGACACTTTCGGGCTATGTGCCCCTCCTGCCCACAGTTGTAGCAGGTGAATCTGTGCGTCTGTCCGCCCTGGACCGCGCCAATATCCATAGGAGCACCCCGACCTGGTTGCAGCCCGAACGGCTGGAACCCGTGAGAGTGTTTATGTTGGTTTGATGACCCAGGGCGCCTCTGGGATTCGTTGTTTTTGGTGGTGGACCCGCCACCTTGGTGCATTTGGTAAAGCTCCATGGCTCTACCGATTCTTCGTACTTCCTCAGCCGCCAGGGCCAAGTTCTTGTTCCTTGTATCCTGCAAGTAGATCTGTTCTGCAATGCGAGGGTTCACATTGCGCTCCAGCAGTTCTACTGCGTGTTCATTACCAAGCCCTCCTTGGATGGAGAGGGCCAGGAACCGGGTAACATAGTCATCCGTCCTCATGTTTCCTTGCTTGAAGGAACAGATTTGCTGACGCGCCCAGTCACGCTCAGCTTGCGGTTTGAAGTATTTTTTGATCTCCTTCTTGAGATTGTCCCAGGTTGGCCACACTCCCACGGTGTAGCACTCCTGTAATCTAACTTGGGCATATCGACCCGCCACAGGTCCTTTTAGTCAAGATAGCACCGCAGTGGCTACCTCAAAATTGTTGGCAAATGCATCCCAATTTGCCTTAACCCAAATCTGGAGCTTGATCCACCACTCGGCGAATCGCGCTCTGTCTCCGTCAAAGGTGCCAGGGTCAGCGACGACTTCGACTTTTTTGTTGAACTTTTTTTCTACCGAGGGGTTGCCGCAGGAGGGTTCGTCTGCAGCTCGGCGAGTTGCGAGGTTAATGTTGTGATCTGCGTACGCATAGCGTGCAGCAGAGCATTCATATCTTGTTGCGATGACATGTCGACTTGTTCTCTTTGTAAAGTAATAAAAATGTAACTGGGGGTCCCCGCTTGCTATCTGCGGATCTACCTCTTCCCAGCTGAGTATCGGATCTCAATCTCCGACTACCCACACTATAGTATTTGAAAAGTATATAAAAAGTATTCGTAAGAAACCCTGGTCCGAACGGTTGTCAGGGGGTGGTCCGCTTGTTAAGCTGTCAACCCTTCTCCAACTGGCGCAGGCAAGTGCCCGGCCTGGTCAGAGGAAAGAGAAAGTGAAGTTTTGTATTTTAGTTCTAATCAACAGTGGTTCCACACCGACTGCTGAGCTAAGTACTCCCCTTAACGCTGAAGGCCGCGTATCAAAGGTTTTGGTTCTTCTCCCAAAGCACTACAAGGCTGTCCCAAAGAGCGCACCTATCTGCTATGCGGGATATTCCCAACCAATAACCAAATCTCCTTCACCCTGTAGTCCGGGTGCCCAGTGAGACTTTTGCACAAATGTGCGAGAGAGTAGAAGAGCGAGTCCTAATGTAACAACCAAGAGTTAGTTACTCTGGCGCACACAGAAACACACTATAAGGAAGATGATTAGGGAGTGGATACCCCTTGAGCTGCAGAGAGTTTGTTGGTCAACAACAGGAGGACTCGCTGAGGAGTCTCCTGGATCTATTGGGGTATATATACTACTACAGAGTTATTTGTACATATGTACTATACAGTTGATAGTGACAGTGGCTGATGGTGTCATGGGGCCTAGCCCGCATGGCCAGCTCCACTGTGTGAGAGAATTGTGTCTATAATAAGAGGAAAGGCAATGTGGCGCGAGAAAGAGGAGTTTTGGACAAAAGGGGAAGTGCCGCGTGGCACCATGTGTGAAAGCTAAAGTACAAGGTTAAAGCGGAGAATAAAAGTAAAGGGAAGTTCCGAAAATTGTGTTATCGTAACAAGACCAGGGATTGAACCTGGAACCTTCTGGATATATGCCAGCTGCTCTACCAATTGAGCTATATGGCCAAGGTTATACAATGTAGGATCCTAAACATGACATGCAACCACGGACGTCTTACACAGTATAGCTGCTGCATACTGGATTGGCTTACAAATCAGAGGTATTATCCTATGGGGTATTGGTATGTCAGAGTATATTCTAACACAATATGCATCATAAGGAGAATCCTACCACTATTTTTCAGGATTCCCGTCCCTTCGTTTTGAGAAAGTGTAACTCACCTCTATCAACTCAGCATTGCCGGTGGACAAAAGCTCGTCCCTCAGATTCTTATGTTGGCGGAACTTGTGTGACAGGGCTAAATCCATCTGGTCACGAATTGTGTCAGGACAGCTACCCAAGGGTGTTCATACGTCGCATTTGTACGGTACCATTTGAACTCTGACTTGCGACCAATCAGAGCGAACGTGATCGTTAAGCCGATATGCTTCGTTGCAAGTCTCTCTCGCATCATCCGAAAATGTTCTAATATGCTCTGCGAGTTCGGGATCATCTTCACGAAACTACGAGTCATAGGATATGATCAGTCACGTCAAAAAGTTAATAACCTTGCTCTTCTCCACATCTCTAAAGAGGATGAGATAGGTTCTCACCTTGAGCGACTGAAAGAGATGTTCACTGGTCAGATAGATCTTGCCCCCGTACTTGACCGGACTGGGATAGCGATTGGTGAAAGTGTAGTATGGATCATCGCTGTTGAAGAAAAATATGCGAGGACGGCGACGATGGCTGGGTGTCGATGATCTTGATCCAAGCTCAAGGCGGTGCCTAGAGGAATTTGCTGTGACCGCGTTTTGTGAGTCATCATGACGTGGGTTCCCACCGAATCTATACATTTAATCGTCCTTGGGAAAAAATCAAAAATCAAAAAATTTATTATGACAGAGTCCCCCCAAATGAAGGGGAACAGAAAGAAACGGTTGAGCAAAATAAAGCAGTCTTACCTGCCCCTCGGATTGAGATGCAAAGTGCGATTGGCACCCTTTGCACCCTCTCCCGCCCCGTCCACAACCTTGGCAACTTCCTCTTCGCGCAACTTTTCCCTCAGACGCTCAAGTGCCCTCCCAAGCTGGTTTTCGCCCTTTCCATCCTGGCCAGATCCCCAATAAGCATCATAAGAAGAGTCCTATGAAGTCTCGCAACCTATATCGTTTTGGGATTTTTCGAGGTATGGAAACTTACCTGAATCCTGAATCAGCTCAGCGTCGCCGGTGGAGAGCAATTCGCGCTTCAGGTCCTCATGCTGGTTGAACTTGAATGACAGAACGATGTCCATCTACACAAAGCCGTGGGGTTAGCACAGCAGCTTCGGGGATCCGCATTTGGTTTATTAGCAAGCTATATATACCACATTGATTTGGACGTGGAGCCAATCTGGGCGAATTTGGTTGTGGTACCGATCGGCTTCGTTGCAGATGTCTCGCGGGTAACGTGAACATGTTTTGATATACTCTGCGATGTTGGGCTTGTCATCAAGGAACTACGAGCCGTCGGATTTAGGTTTAGCGCCAACGCCCTCTTTTCTCCACATTCAGTCGAAACGACAACCTAAATATACGCACCTTGAATGATTGAAAGAGATGTTCGCTCGTCGGATAGGTTTTGCCTTCGTATCGGACTGGGTGGGGACTGGAGTTGGAGAAATCATAGAAGGGATTGTCGCTGCCGTTGAAAAGTATACGTGCCCTCGGAGGAAGACTAGGTCCCGGTTCTGGAAAGGGGCCGTCATGATGTCCATTCCCATCGACACTGTACAAATGGCATCACTCTTCCAAGACCGAAACTGTGGAGCCAACCATAGTATCAAACTCTTACTTGTCCATTGGGTTGGGACGCGCTTGCAGGGGGCGACTAGGAAGAGGGCCCTGGAAGCTCTTCACAGAGTCACGTCGTCTGGCAACCAAGAAACTGGCCTACCGACCTCTCCGAGCCCCAATCTCGCAAAGACAGCCTCTGCACCGGCAGCGTCGACGATGAAGATGTGTTGATTTCCGGCCACATCATTGTAAGTAGCGATTTGAGCTTCGGCGTGTGATGCATGTTGAGAATAGGGCATGTGGAGCTGGATGCAAGCCTGTAGAGAGTGGAGATGGGGGAAGAGATCGTTAAGGTGGTACTATCGATGGGGATCATACATGTGATCGGCATATCGGGCAAGTTGGCCATAAGCAGACTTTTAATAAAACCTACATTCACGTCACTCCTCCAAACCTTCGAGCTCAACTTGAAGGCGTAAGGACGATATATCATCAACTATCACTGACGAGTTTATCAGCACTCTTAATTTCCGACGAACTCCCACCCCCTGATGCCAAAGGCCTTCTCAGCGACTAAAACCATAGCATCTACCGCCATGAGCCCCACTCACCGCCTATATACAGTGAATAAGTAAAGGCTCAGCGATGGGGGATCTGTCTGCCCATCCGCGTTTTGCACGGAGTGAAAGAAATGAACGGTCTGTGGAGTACCACTTGTGGAGCGAGTTGATGGTAGATGCCTGATGTTGGTTTTGCGAACGCTATAGGACGGCGGGGGCGACGCTACGCCGAGTGAATGGAAGGTTGAGCCGGGACGGAGCGGGTGCGAATGAGGTGCCGCGCGCGATGATGATGTGTCAAGCGAGGCGGGCAAGGTTGGGCAAAGAGTGGTATGAAGTTGATCCTGCGGGTGTATCGGAAAACGAGAGGCAGCTGTGTGTAGCGCCCGATGATGGTGAGTTCTGAATAGTAGAAGCGGTGAGGACGGGCAGTGTGAAAAGCACTCACGCAAGTGGCATGCTACCAGAACAGAGTCAAGGTGGTACGGCTTTAATCGGAGGAGGGCGTGATAAACATGGATGTAGACGGTCAGACCAAATGACGGAGCGCGAGACGGACGGTTAGGCTCGTGACGTGCGATGAGGCTGCATAGTTCCACAGCCGTGTTCATCCGCACTTTCTGCAGTGATTTCTGATGGTAGGACGACCATGAGGTCTGTAGGGCTGTGTGTTTCGCGTAGGTTGGATTTGAATTAAGAACTTGAGGATGGTGGAATACATATTGTGAGGAGACGGAGGGGAACGGGGTGGAGGCTGTAGATGTCAGCAAGGAAGATACGATCAGTGCCCCAAGCGCCAACGATGATGGGGACGGGTGATTCGCGCTAAGTAAAATGGAAGCAATGGAATAAAAGACACGTGAGTCCGAGTACACTAGTAGCTCCTCGCCGTCGGTCTGAATACTTGCAACCCTACTAAACTCTGTACTCGTTCAGCGCTCGTGTTTACGACGGGTGAAAAAAGAGTAAGATTCAGAGTGAAAGCCCTACGAGTACAGCGCTAAGGTAAGACTTTGACTGATGAAAGGGCACGGGGTCGGGCTGGGAGGATGGGGGAGCTGTGTCGAGTCAAGGAGGGGATGTGTGATTCTGATAGAAGAGCACGGCTGTGTAAGGTTAGGGAGTGGAATGGAGTAAGTGGGGATAATAACTACACGACCCGTGACCCACGAGCCTCACCCAATTACCAAAACATATCCCAGCTTCGTTGCCCAAAGGAACTGCTCAGATCAACATTCTTCACGTGAATTTGGTTGGCGTGCGTGTTTCTGTCCATTGTGATGTATCTGTAGTGTTGTGACACTCTGACGTTCTTTTCTCTCAGGCTGGGCAACATCACGGTTGTGCATTCATCGCCTTGGTATGATAACATAAATTAAAGCTGCTGTAGTGATCCGCTCAGATCCATGTAGACGCCAGGAATGGCTGGCTAGCTATACCATCAAAGACGCATTATGACAGGTCAAGAACTTCGAACCTGAACGGTGTTTCCATCGAGACACGTTTGACCATGAGCATCCTTGTATCCCGCCCCTGAAAACTTGAGCCTAACCCACCACGAACTACGAACTGCAACATCCTATAGACACTACTCATCATTCATGTCCACACGAACATGATCGTTCTGGATAGCGATCGGCCAGGGATGACGTATGGACCAGTGAGGGATCTTCATCACAGGATATCAGGCATACACGCCCTCGAACCGTGAAATCAATCCTCTCCGCTCAACGCCCAGCCCCCTGGTGGCCAAACCGACGTGGCCCCCTCTGCCTTCTAACGGCACAAAAGCAAAGTCTTTTGTGATTATCATGAGTAACACAACAATATTTCAACAATTGTAAGCGACCAGATGGGTGCTTGTTCTGATAGCATAAAATACAAACGAAAACGTCAGAGCAGGATCTCAAGAAGAAGCCCGGGTCCTGTGTAACTGGGTCGGCATAGCCCATGCTAGAAAACACACCATCGACGCACGAGTAAATTGCCTGTTTGAGCACTATTTCAATGAAACCGAATCAGCTTGTGAAACAAAAAAAGAAAGGGAAACCCAGAAAGGGCTTCACTGTTGGCACGCAAAAGGAGGAAAAAGACGCACTCAAGCTGTTAGTCATGGACAATCTGATGCACTCATGGAAAAATAATGCACAGAGGGTCAAGTCGTCTTGGTCAAACAGCTCAGGTCGCAAGGTTTACTTCTTCCCTTCGCCAAGATTGGCACCCGCCCATATACTGGCCACCAGGCCCTTGTCGAGGACCCAGTATCCAAGGGTATCATATCCAGTCAACATCGCCCCGCGGAGGCACATAAAAGAGAGGAAGAGGGAAGCCTCAGCCTTACATCCCATTCAACTGATCGTTGACGAAGCGGCCTCTCAGAACAGGGTTGGCAGCGAGGGCGCTGGCGACCTCTGCGCTTGTCCGGCTCATAGGCTGGAATGACCAGAGCTGGCCCTGATTGGCAGTGTCGTTCCACTCGCCTGCCCAGCCCTCAACGGCAGTTCCATTGCCACTGCTGTCAAGAGGGCACTAATGAATCCAGGCATGATACAAACACGTCAAGCTGAGATGACATACCCATCTAGAAGATTGACAAACGCTGGCAGAACGATCACGCGTAGTTTCACGAGCTCGGAGTGCGATTAATACGGAATGAAGGGAACACGTACTTCCACCCTGCAAATTTTGCATCCTAAATGGTCCCCAGTCTCATCAGACTTTGGCCGACTAAAGGTATCCAGCGGAAAGACGCACTTGTAAAATGTGCCTGTCTGTCGAATGATCCAAACCCGGTCGTTGCCCACGCGCTGCCACCCTTGAAGCGGGTTACCATTGGCGCTGCTACCTGAGTAAACCATCCGTCTCCAGGAAGCACTTTTTTTGACATAACATAACAGCCAGGCTTACCATTTGGCAAGTCAAGGTAGAGGCCGCCTCGGAGATTCTGTAAGGTAAAAGCATCTGTTGCTCCAGTAGGTGTGACCAGCCGGAGCTGAGGTAGGCAGTAGGCGCTGGAGAATGACCACTTCCCCCAACCCTGGACTTTTGTACCTGAATCAAACGAGTTGAGATATTGGTATCAGACATGGCGGCCACGCTCACTCACCATCTGTTGTGCCACCTTGGATGATCAGCATGACAACATGGCAACGAACCACAAGTTAGCTGATGCCGGACAGCTTATGAGAATGCGAATGTCGTTACCGAAATAAAGATCGATGGCAAGGGGAACAGCTGAATTCTCAATTGAATCTAAAATGAAGTGAACAGGAGAAGGAGTGCGTCGTTGCGATAAGGACACTCACAGATTCCGCCGATGAGCGACATGCTGGTGAATTGGAAGTATAGTGAGGGGGGTCTGAGGAATACTCAGTAAGCTTTCCAGTGGTTTAAATATGACGAGAGTGGCTGTTTGGTTGGCACAAGACGATACACCGGAATGTCACCCACATTATTTGGGTGATTGAGTATCGCCAATGAGCACTCTTCACAGTTGAATTCACCAGGTCGCTGACCCATCCCTCGACTACATTAGTACTAGCACCATCATAGCCGCTCGCATCACCGCACACGTGAATGCGATCACCATCGTCGAGGATCTCCAGCGAGTCGTGGTCAGAATCTTGGCCTGGGATAGATGTTCGGCTGGACGAGAAAGCCGGTGCAGCGCTAAGGATGGGGGAGCTGTGTCGGAGGGGGCGTGATTCTGATGGAAGAGGACGGCGTGACTAGTCGTTGATAATTGCAAAGTGAGCGACACACTCGGAGTGTGTAAGCGACTCGTGCATAAATAGCGACACTCCACTCAGTTCAGACCATGACGCACCTCCTCGCCCTTCCCCCTGAACTCCGCCTGCTCATCTACACCCTTCTGCTCGCTGACCACCAACGCGTCAGCCACCGCACCCAGCCCACCAATGTCCACCTCCGCCCCCTCCGCACCTGCACACTCCTCTACGCAGAGGCAGCCCCCGTCCTGTCCGCCTACGTCTCTCTCCGCAACGAGGTCCAGATCACCCGCTTCCTCCACTCTCTCACCAGCGAACGGGCCAGCCTAGTCAACTGGGCCGATGTCGCCAACGACGGTCGCGTCCTCCACGATCCGTCCACAAACCACGTGAGTCCACCCTCCCCTGCACCTTGCCCCGCTGACCGTGCCCCAGATCGAGCCCGCCTCCCAGCTCTACCTCGCCCTCGCCCGCCTCTCCTCCCTCGCCATCCTCCGCGTCTTCCACTTTCGCATTACACTACGGCAGGGAAAGCCAAACGGGGAATGGACACTATGGGTCTTGATTCTAGTCATGAGTAGGAAGCGTAGGGTAATCTATATCATCGGAGGACATCTTCATCGACCCCGCTGCCCGCGTCTCCCCCTTCCAGCTCATCAGCCCCTCCTCCCTCCTCTCCCTCCGCCTCTCCGGCGACTGCCACTTCCCCGCCTCAAACCGCACCACTCCCCTCGCCCTCCCCTCCCTCCTCCACCTCTCCCTCTCCGCCATCACCTCAAACGCCTTTGACACACTCGACTTCTCCCGACTCCTCCCCCACTCCCGCCTCCTCTCCTTCTCCCACTCACAGGGCCACAGACTCGCCTTTGAGCTCCGCGACCCCCACCTCGCCTCCCTCCTCCGTGCCCCCTCCCCCGCCCTCTCCCTCCGCAAACTCGTCCTCCTCGGCTCATCCCGCCTCTCCTCCCACGCCCTCTCCACTTTCATACAATCCCTCCACGCACTCGACTACCTCGCCCTCTCCCTCGTCACCGTCAACGAGCTCAGGCACAACTTCATACACGGCATCAGTCCGCACCTCACCGTGCTCAAACTGCAGGTCACCAACGCGTGGTACGCTGTCCCGCTGTACGACGAAGTGGGCGCCGTGTGCGATGCCCTGGAGGAGAGGGTGCTGAAGAGGGACAGCGGAGGCGTCCAGCTCGTCTGCGTCTCCTTCTACCCAAAGCTCATGGCGGAGGACGGCAGGGCACAGCGTTGGAGGGACATTGCGGACCAGAGGCGCTTTACGCTGAAGATCGGTCCCTGGGAGGAAGACGAGGAGACGTGAATCGGGGCATGCTCTATTGTATCTCGTTTTTCACTTGTACTACCACATGCATATCTATTATCATTATGGACTCGATATTTGAATAGAGTGACAAGGCTCCTGAATCTCTCGTATTCTTATAGATTTTATTTGGCGAATCCGTCTCAGCATGGGTGCATCATGTCGCCTTTTTCTTAACTCGGACTTGCCCCTTTATTTGGTTCGTCAAACACTAATTCGTCCGCTCAAATGGATACAAAGTGTCCCCCAGTCGACGCGTCCCACAACATCCCAACTACTTTGGTACCAATCCGACCTGATTAGCGTACGCGTAGGTGAGCACCACGGCGTATCCGTGCACACCAACGTGTCGGCAACTGAAAGAGCCACCCTCGTCGTATTCACGCCAGACCACCGTCAACGCAAAGCCCACCGAGCCCCCCTCCCCAGACCCTCTTCACTCTAATAGGTAGCTACAGGCTTCCCAACTGCCCGCTCGCCGGTGGAATGTGTGAGTTGCGAGAGGGATGTTGCGAGAGGGAGGGCGGGGGACGCGAGGAGGACGAGGGAGGCTATGAAGGAGATGGGGTTCGTGATGGACGAATGGAGGTGCAGAATAGAGGGGGGTTCACTGAGAACGGAAGAGTCTGGAACAGCGGTCGCTTCCGTCCCATGTCAATACCCCAATTTTGGCCTGCTCGTATTTTGTCACATCTGCCGTCATCTCAAGGAAATTCACGAATCTTGTAAATAAGGTAAAACGACCATGTTGTCGCTGCAGGGGTGGCTACAGTCCTAGCATAATGCGCGGAGAATCAATATGATCTTGCTGTGGTATCACAACTCCGAGCCATATTTAGACAAACGTGCAAACGTATTGAGAGTCGATGTTCTTCCCTCACACCTTTTGGATTGCCTACTGGAGACTAGAAAACACGGGACTCGCCATTCACCGCTAGTTCTGCGACTTCCTCGCCCAGCCAAATATCCATCCCAGGCCAAGAATCAACCTCACAGCCCACTGGAGATCCTCGACGATGGTGATCACATTCACTTGTGCAACGTATGCGAACGACGTCTTCAAACTATGATGGTACTAGTATTACCGTAGCAGAGGCTTGGGGACGGCGAACTGGTGCATCCAATTGTGAGGAGTGTTAATTGACGATATTCGATGTCCAAAGTAGTGTAGGTGACATTCTGGTGTATCAGCCTGTTCCAGCCAAACAACTGCTCTCGTCGTATATAAACCACTGGAAAGCTCATCGAGTATTCCTCAGACTCCCTTCACTATACTTTCAATTCACCAGCATGTCGCTCACCAGTGGAATCTGTGAGCATCCCCTCATCGCCGTGTGTCGCACTCTCCTTCCTGCTCACTTTCATGTTTAGATTCGATTGAGAATTCAGCTGGCTCTCTTGTCATGAATCTTTCTGGCGGTAATGACGTTCTCGTATGTTGCTCGACATCAGCTAACTTGTGGTCGTCGCTGTGTTGTCGTCGTCGTCCTTCAAGGTTCGCCAACAAATGGTGAGTGGCCGCCAGCCGCGATACGTGATACAAAAAATCGCTCAACCGGGTCGATGCAGGTACAAAAGTCCAAGGTTGGACAAAGTGGCCATTCTCCAACCCCCAATGCTTGGCTCAGCTCTGGCTGGTCACACCTATCAACGGAACAGCAGATTCCTTCACCTTGCAAAATCTTCAAGGTGGCCTCTACCTCGACTTGCCAGAAGGTATACGAAGCCCAACTGTGCTGTGGTGTCTAAAAAGGTACCTGCTGACGACCGGTGTTTGACTCAGGTAAAAGCACCAATGGGAACCCACTTCAAGGATGGCAGCGCGCGGGTAATAACCAGGTTTGGACCATCCGAAAGGTAGGCACGTTTTACAGGTGAGTCTCCCCACCAGATACCTCTAGTCGGTCGAGTCTGATGAGATTGGGGACCCGTGTAGGATGCAAAACGCACAGGGCGGAAGTACGTCTCCCTTACATTCCGTATTAATGGCGTTCCGAGGCTCATGAAACTCGCGTGATCGTTCTGCCAGCGTTTGTCGATCTTTTATATGGGTATGTCCTTCTTTTCGTATTGCCGTGTTTATATGATCCAAGCACTCATCGGTACCCTCTTTTCAGGGGCACTGCCAATGGGACTGTCATTGAGGGCTGGGAAGGCGAGTGGAGTAGCACTGTCGACGAGCACCAACTCTGGTCATTCCAGCTCGTGAGCCAGACAGGCACACAGATCGCCAACACCCTTAATGCGAACCCTATTCTCAAAGGCCACATTGTCAACTATCAGCTGGATGGAATGTAAGGCCTTTTCCCCCCTCTCTTTATATATACCTCCATGGGGTGATGTTGACTGGACGTGATGCCTTTAGATATTGGGTCGTCGACAAGGACCTGGTGGCCAGTATTTGGACTGGTGCCAACCTCGGCGTGGGGAAGAAATACACCTTGCGACCTGAGCTATTTGACCAAGATGACTTTGTCTTCAGTGCGATATCTTTCCATCAGCGCATCAGACTGTCCATCGCTAACGCCTTCCTTCAGCCTCCAAGGTGCAGTTGGCTCAATGGGGAAGCGACAATATTCGTGCCAGCGTAAGTCTATCTGAGTGTAAGTTCGATTAACCCACAGGGGTGCTCAAATTCCTGACAGGGCTTGAACTTGCTCTTCGGTGTGGCGCTCGGAGTGTCTACGGCGGAAGGATCGGGTGGGCAGTCGTGCAACGTTTTCCTCGATAGCGATCTTTCGACCGTCCTCTTCTTCGAGTGAGTCTTCGTCTCTTTTTTTTTGCGCGCCAGCAGTGTGAAGCCCTTTTTGGGTTTTCCTCGTTTTTTTTGTCCCACACGCTGATTCACTTTGATCGACATAGTGCCCAGACAGGCAAATTACTGGTGCGTCGATGTGTGCGTTTCTCGTGCGGGCTTTTGCTGACTGTGCTAAACAGGACCCGACAGCCATCACCTCCCAGGTCAACGTTGCCTTATTCTAGGGCCCGCCGAGATCTGCTCTGACGTTTCCCGCTGTATTTCGTGCTACCAGAACAAGCGCCAAAACGGTCGCTTACGATTGAAATAAATATCGTTGTGGTTGTGTTTGTGGGCGGGAATATGTGCCAGTGGCAAAGGGTATCTCAATGGAACATGACTTGGGCTCTGTTTCAGCTGTCATCACGGGTCTGTGATAGCAAACCGCCCGTTTATGGCTATGCATGTTAGCAATGGGAAAGTTGTCGCTGCCGGTGGATAGTGTGATGTAGCCTCCAACGTTGAAAGTCCAGATCGAAAGAGAGTGCAATAGCCAAAGTCAACACGCTGCTAGCAACCTGATCATCTGAAAGAGCGATATAATATCAACGTAGAAGCATTAGAATAATGTGCGTAGAGTGTAATGTCAGATAATCCTATCAGACTGCCTAGTATCACAAGACAATCCCCCGCCAATCCCCACATTCTTATTTTCGGTCGTTGCGTGCCGGTATCCCTGATCTAGGTGATCGTGATCGTCTGGTTCAGAGTCTGGAGGGCGGGGCTCGGACCCGCCTGAGAGAAAAGAACGTCAGAGGGTCACGACAAGGTACTACAGAAGCAGCACAATGGACAGAAACACGCACGCCAACCAAATTCACGTGAAGAACGTTGATCTGAGCAGTTCCTGTGGGCAACGAAGCTGGGATCGTCACCGAGATGTTTTGGTAATTGGGCAACTGAGGCTCGTGGGACACGGGTTCGTAGGCCCCGTTGTACAAGATTTGACCAAAGATGTCGGCAGGAGCGGCACAGGGTTGACTGGAGCATGACTGAATGCCGATGACGACGGCAACTTCCTGAGAGGGCGACTGGGAGTTCTATGGACGACGGTTCACCATTGACAATAGACGCGAGCATGGAGATGGTTTCACTTACTGGCCTCTCGAGCTGAACGATCAAATTGCTGCCTGGAGCCACCGAGGCGCCTTGCGCGGGGTTGGCGATTGCAACGTTCTGGGCAAAAGCAGCACCAGCGAAGAGGGCGAGGGAGATGATAGACTTGAACATGGCTCTATAGGGTGGATTTAGACTAAGCTGGAGGGAAGCAGTAGAAGAAAGCTGATGTTGAGAATACTGAAAACCTGAACCTTTTATACAGGGGACCAAATATAAGCGGTGCGTGTCAAAAAATGAGGATGACGCCCTTGCGTTGTCGGTCCTAATATTCCAACCGCAAACACGGTGATGGTGAGCCGGAGTGAAGCAAAATCAGTGGTCCATGAGAAAGAGACGCACTGAATTTCGGCTGGACGTTTCGGGGATGGGTACGGTTCTTCCACAGCTGGGCGCATTACATCCTGTCAGTCACAATCACAATTGATAACCTGTGAAAATGGGGTTGGGGACGCCTTTGTTCGTAAAACTGGAGTAGAGCTCAAGCATGTTTCATTTCTACCGTTCGCCAGTCGCTAGAGTATGCCTGGAACACTTACTCCGCCAAAGCTCGCGGGCTTTGAAAGACGAAAGTGGAATCCAAAGCCAAAAATAGTCCATCCAGCCGTGACAGCACTATCGCAGTTGAAAAAGCTGCGATGCTCAACTGTTTCAAGTTGCGGCGGCCACTCTGCAACCATCTTGACACAGGAGTTGTGTGGCGTGGGGACTTTCCTTCCGACTCGTAATAGGTGCATGTACAGGATGTAAAGGGAGTTTGGTTCGAAGCGGTTAAGAATGTGAGTGTTTATCTCTTATCCACCCAGTTGTTTTGTCACTTACCTTATTCGCGCAGGTCGAATGGATGTCAAGTGCTCAAACAGGCAAATTCATGGTGCGTCAATGTTTGCTTTCTAGCATAGGCTTTGCTGACTCGGCTAAACAGGACTCGAAAGACATCAGCACCAGGCCACAGTGGCCTTCTTCTAAAGGTCGTGCTCCAACGTTTCTCAATGTATTTTATACTATCAGAGCAAGCACCAGTGTGGTCGCGTAACAATTGAAATAAATTATGTTGTGTTCAATCAGATACAATTCGGCCACTTACCTTCATAAGTAGATGAGTTGCACGAGGGTTGTGAAGGTGACATGGAGCAATTCACGATGGAAATGAGTAAAGTGATCCGCGGTCAGTGTTCAACACCGAATTGCACTCTCTATTGACATATGTACTGTATTTGTTGTTAGAAAACGCGAGTCGACAAAGACAAGCGCCGTACGAAGGGAAAGTATGGTGCAGGACACCATACTAGGAAAGTGTAGTGGTAGGATGGCCCGTGCATTTTGATGGGGCAATTTACCCCCTTAGTTATACTTCCGTTCGAGTTTAAAAACCTTCGTAGCAATGATCGCCCACCTCAGAGCTTCGCCCACAAAGTCTGAGCATTTGGTTTATATTAGATCTCTTTGAGGTTATGAGCCCTGCAAGTGAGACAACGTACACTGAAAAAGACACCCTTGGGGTGCCAAAGCTCGAGCCGGATGGCTCAAACTGGTCGATGTACAAAACTCGCCTCGAATGGGCCCTTGCTGACCGAGACTGCGTCGAGCACCTCCATGGCACAGCAAAAAGGCCAATACCACTATCCCAGACCACTAGCCAGACTGCTGGCCAGGCCACAGCGACGACATCTCCTCCTGCAACAGTCAGCAAGGCTGATCAAGAAGCACTTGATGCCTGGCTAAAAAAGGAGTACCGCGCGCAAAATATATTAGGTTGCACCATACCTGATTTGACGCTGCGAAGGATCCTAAACAAGCCCACCGTCGCTGACATGTGGGTCATGATCTGTCAAGAAAACGAGAACAAAACGGAGCTAGTTCAGTCTGAGCTAAGAGAAAGGTTGTCAAACCTACGCTGCACCGAGAAAGGAGACTTGCGCGCACATTTGGACAAGATTCGCGCGCTATGGGAACAGCTCAGCGCAGCAGGAGTCCAACTAGCAGACAAAGAACTCACCTCCAGCATCATCATGTCTTTGCCGCACTCATACACCACCTACGTGTCACACCTGTCAGCGTCTGCCCATATGTCAAAGCAGACCTTGGACCCAGAGACACTGATCTCGTACCTTCTCCAAGAATACGACCGACAGACCATATTCAGAAAATGCCCGACAGCGAAATCAGAGGACATCACTATGTCAGCCACCGGAGGACAAGGATCGTCCAAACGTGGAAGTCGAGGCGGAAGAGGTCGCTACAAGAAAGGAAAATCATCTGGCGGCAGAGACGACAAGGATACCAGCGAGCTTGAATGCTGGAACTGCGGTGGAAAGGGACACAGGTCACACCAGTGCCCCAGTGAGAAGTGTGAGCGCTCCACAAAGAATGAGTCAAAAGGGGACTCACCAGGAGACAAGAAAGAAGAGGGGCAAACGGGCGATGCAAAGGGAAAGAAGCCTGAAAAGGCGAACCTTGCTGTCCACGTCCAATGCGACGGTGCGAGCCTATCAGATTTTGAAGAAGAAGGTGCGTGGAGCGCCCTCACTCACCAACTCGCCATGAACGCGAGGCCCAAGAGTCCCATTGAAATCTATGACTCCGGCGCTACGAGCCACTTCACCCCCCATCAACACCTCCTACTCAATTACCGCACGATTGCACCTTACCCTATAAGCGTGGCAAACCAAGACTCCTTCTCTGCTGTAGGAACAGGGGATATGATGATTAGTGTCCCCAACGGCGCCCATAAAGACACGCAAGTGCGCCTGAGAGACGTGTTATACGCACCAAATTTGGCCTACACCCTAGTTTCCATAGGCTGTATGGATAAGGCAGGCTACAAGGCCGTCTTTGCGAAAAGCGAATGCGTTATCTATGACCTGAGAGGAAAAATAAGAGGACACATACCTAAAGTAGGTGGTGTGTACCAGTCGCGAGGCACAAATCTTCGCCACGAAAGCGCCAATGCAGCTGTTGAGCGCATATCTGTCACTGAACTCCACAAGCGCCTTGGCCATATAGCCATTGATGCAGCAAAGCGCATGGTGTTGAAGGGCTTGATCCATGGGGTAGAACTCCTGGAGGATAGGGAAACAGACACTTTCTGTGAAACTTGTGTCCGCGCCAAGGGCAAGCGCGAGGCAATCCCTAAAGTGAAACTGGGTGAGCGTGCACAGGAATATGGCCAGGAGATCCACACCGACCTATGGGGACCTGCACCAGTCGAAACGCTGGGTGGAAAACGGTACTATGTTGCCTTTACGGATGATAAGACACGCGAAACACATGTTTATCTACTGCACGATAAATCTGACACTTTCCGTCAATTCCAAATGTATGAGGCCTGGGTCTGCAACCACATGAATGCAGCAATCAAAGTCTTACATAGCGACAGGGGTGGCGAATATATGAGCAATGTGTTTAGTGACTATCTGAGAGATAGAGGAATTATGAGGAAACTCACAGTGCACGACACCCCCGAACAGAACGGTGTCACGGAGCGCGTGAACCGTACCCTACTGGAGAAAGTACGCACCCTCTTACTTAGCAGTGGCCTGCCAAAATTCCTGTGGGGGGAAGCCATCAAACATGCATGTGGGTTGAAGAACCGCACCTCCACCAAGGCACTAGACAACATGACGCCGTTTGAAGCGGTACATGGTGTCAAGCCGGATCTTGCTGGCCTACACAAATGGGGCTGCAACGTACTCGTGCACAACGCAACTGCTCAAAGCTTGAGAGCTGAGCTAGGAGGGGTCACTGGGTCGGTTTTGATACTGAAAGTCTCGGACACCGCATCTATTGGCCAGAGAATCATTCAGTCACTGTTGAGCGCTCAGTGCATTTCAACGTCGGGAATGTACCTGTAGATGCTGACAACGAACCTCCCTTTGGGCTTGAGGGGGAGTATGATGTCCTGGACCAAGCGCCAAAGGAGAGTGACATTGTAGAAATTAGTGATCACATACCTCATCCCGATTCACCCAATCCCCAAGCAATCCCTGACCCACTCTACCCTCAGGATCAAGATCAAGCTGATCCTGATCCCATCCTACCAGCTCCAGTCCTTCCACCTCCACCTATAGTTGCTCCGCGTTGAAGTACCCGCATTTGCCAGCCAACCCAATATGTTCATGACTTCCTACAAGGAAAAGGATCAGTATCTGGAAATAACGGACCCACCTTACCCAAAAGGCATCCAACTGAACGTCGACGATCCGGATGGGAGAGATGAGGAAGAGAGAGATAATGAAGCACTAAGGGATCTCGCCCAAAATGTAGCCATGGTGGCATGCATGGCAGATCTTGAAGGCGTTGAACCCAGAACTATTGAAGAAGCCCAAAAGCGCCCAGACTGGCCAAAATGGGAAGAAGCGATCAATGAGGAATTGAACAGGCTTCGAGTAGCAGGAACATGGACTTACATTGAGAGACCCAAAGATGCGAACATTGTAGGGAGTAAATGGGTGTTCAAGCTAAAGAAAACAACATCAGGATCCATCAATAAGTACAAGGCAAGGCTTGTAGCACAAGGCTACAGCCAAGTGGAAGGAATAGACTATTTCGACACATTTGCCCCCATTGCAAAGATGGCATCGCTACGAATCATCTTAGCGATGGCTGCTCGAAATGATTGGGAAACTCACCAGATGGATGTAAAAAGTGCATACCTAAACAGCGAACTAGAAGAAAAAGAGGTCATCTACATGCAACAACCGCCTGGTTACAACGCACCTGGAAAAGAGACCCAAGTCCTACGCCTAAACAAGACACTCTATGGCCTGAAGCAGGCCGGCCGCAGGTGGTATCAGACTCTATGCGATGGACTCCAGAAAATCGGTTTAATTCGCTGTGAAACAGACGATGCAGTTTTCCATAGGCGCAACGAAGGAGAGCTCACCATTATTGCAGTTCATGTAGACGACATGACTCTCGTCACACCGTCAATGACTGAGATGAACCGTTTGAAATTTGACCTAGGAAAACTCTTCGAAGTTAGTGACCTGGGGGAGCTACATTGGATGTTAGGAATAGAAGTGAAAAGAGACAGAAGCACACGCACCTTATACATGTCACAACGCAGCTACCTCGACACTATTGTCAAACACTTCAACCTAGAAGATGCAAAAATGTTAGCAATCCCAATGGTTGCTAGCACGTACCTGAGTAAAGATCAGAGCCCCAAGACGCCTGAAGACTATGCAGAAATGCGAAACGTCCCATATCGAGAGGCTGCGGGATCACTGATGTATGCGGTGATTGGCACACACCCCAATATCGCGCATGTTGTTGCAATTCTTTCTTGTTTTGTTGAGAACCCAGGTCCAGCCCATTGGGAGGCAGCAAAAAGGGTGATCCGGTACCTAAAAGGGAGCAGAGAGCTATGGTTAGCATACGGTCTGGAAGAACAGCCACTTATCGGATACACCAACGCAGATGGGAGTATGAACGAGAACAGGCGAGCCATATCAGGCTATGCCATGATGCTTGATGGTGGCGCCGTCTTGTGGTACTCGAAGCAACAAGAAATTGTCGCGTTATCAACGACAGAGGCCGAGTATGTGGCTGCGACGCATGCCACTAAGGAACTACTGTGGGCGAGGATGTTCATCAGCAAACTCTTCAATCAAGACTTACCACCAACCATCCTCCTGTGTGATAACCAATCAGCCATAGCGCTTTTGAAGGACGGTCAATACCACGCGCAAACCAAACATATCGATATTTGGTACCATTTCATTTGGCACGCCATTGAAGAAGGGAAGATTGAGATTACTTATTGCCCGACTGAAGAGATGGCAGCCAACGTGCTCACCAAGTCCTTGCCCTCTGCAAAGGTGAAACATTTTGCGGCTGCGTGAGGCCTACGTACCGCTTGAGGGGGGGTGTTAGAAAACGCAAGTCGACAAAGACAAGCGCCATACGAAGGGAAAGTATGGTGCAGGACACCATACTAGGAAAGTGTAGTGGTAGGATGGCCCGTGTGTTTTGATGGGGCAATTAACCCCCTTAGTTATACTTCCGTTCAAGTTTAAAAACCTTTGTAGCAACGATCGCCCACCTCAGAGCTTCGCCCATGAAGTCTGAGGTGAGGATCTTATACCTTCCTTGTTTTTTGTGATATACTTACTCTGTACCTAGCATTTGGTTTATATTAGGTACGCGAATACATTCTCAGAGCTTTGCCCACAAAGTCTGAGCATTTGGTTTATATTAGATCTCTTTGATTTGTGTGAGGAGTTGTATAGTGGAAAAGGGTGTAATGATGTTGAAAGTAAACAGGACTCTGTTAGACATACACTAGACCAATTTTGGTTACACTGACCGCTTTTAGAGTAGCTTACATAATCACATAGCGTGATTATGTCAGCAAGTACAGCTGTGACCACTATTTGGCTGACAGGATGTATAGGTGTTTGGGCGGCTGGCTGTACACATTTTTCCGTCATGACATGTGTCTGTTATCTATTGTGACCTGACCAAGGAACTGACATACCACCTTGGTTTGTACATGTCTATCCAGCTTGACATCTGCCCACTACCTTGTGTTGTTAGTGAGAGATGTTGCACTATTTTATGGACTGCATCAGGAAAAATTGGTGTTGTGATGTACTTCTATGTAGCACATGTAGACACTGTACCTGTGTTCTCTTCCCCCCCTTATGTAGCACCATGTAATATCAACGGAAATCTGTACATCTACAGTCTGGTACTGTTATATCCGTACCGGAGGACAGAATTCTGGAATCTCCAAAGGAGATATTTTCTCAAGTCCAAACCTCCTGAATCTTTGGTATTAGTGGGATTACGCTCCTCATGGCCTGCCGGTTGGCATAACCTCGTGCCCCACGCCCACATGGTACCCCAGACTCCCTTTTCAATACTCCCCCACCAGACTTCTAGTCCGCCATATGCTTTCCTATGCATGTTCTCATACTCCTCATAGACTCTGTAGTTTATACCTTATGATACACTCCTTGCACATACATTTCTCTTTTGCTAGATAATTTTCCGCGTGGAACTCTGTACCTACATTACAAGTTACCCCTTACGAGCTCTTACTCCTCCGACAGTATATAAGTTGTAGCTCCTGTACTCTGTTCCTGCAGTTCAAATATCAACATTTCACCCTCTACTCTTATCTGTTCATTCCAACAAGTTAGGGACAAAGGTCTGCAGAAGGGCCTAGTGCACGAACTAAGCCAATTCCCAATCTCATACTCCGTTGTCGATGATGAGAACTGTTGTTAGAAAACCACACACAAAAACAAACTAACACACAATCCTCCCAGATTCCATGGCACTTGTTTATGGGCTTTGCCTCCTAGAACAGTGGGTGTTCTGGTTGTTCGTGGGGTGGTATGTATAAGGGTCCTTCAAAGTAAAACCCAGTGATGTATGGGTGTGGGTTTTGAGGAGGAGGGATAGTTGGAATATAGAAAGATAGGGGCTTTGTGGCGAGTATAGACGAGCACTACCTTGCTAATGGTAGCACAAGGTAGGTTTGAGAACGACAAGGATGACGAGGTGACGAGGTTCCCAGTGATAGCAGGCTCCTGACGCACAAACTGTAGTGCTCAGAAGGACTCTAATCGAAAGGGATGACAATGACTTCAAAAGTGGGAAGTGATGATGACAGCAGTTGACAGTGGTAGAAGTGGGAAGTGTTGTGACCACACTGGATCACAAGTAGCAGAGTAGTGAACTTGAGAGTAGAGAAGAAGTCTGGATTGGATTTCTTGTTTTTTTTACAAGGTAAAATACAGGGGTTTATATAGTAAAAGAGAAGTAGGCTATGCACAGTATAGCTGTGCAAAAAGAATGAGAAAGAATATGAAGGAAGGAATGTACGCTGACAAATCCTGCGTAGGTAGTACAGGATAAGATTGTCAAAAAAAGAAAAGAAAGGGATAGAACAATAAATGCTGTGAGTAATATCACAGGTTTGTACAGCCATAAAGTAAAGTCCAATAGCAAAAGGAGAGCAGGAAAATCATGATGTCATGGGAAGATGCAGTAAAAAAAAAAGGGCAAGGCAAAACACTATCAGTATCAACACAGTTCCTTTATTGTCAGTCAGGCATTCTAAAAAAATATGTGTCCATAAAAATGATTCAAAAATCAAAAATAATCGCACTGTAAATGAATGTTCTGCTGAAAAAAAAGAAACTGGAGCCACCGGTCCACCACCTAGTCCAAATCCGACAGTTCCATGGCCTTACCAATGGACTGGTTGTGTTGGACCACCTGATCAAACGAGGGAGGGAGAGGAGTAGTTCCAATTTGGAACAAGTGAGTCCCAGGCAGCGTGTGGTAGGTGTAGCTGTAGCGAAGACGATGGACAAAAGATAAGTGTACCCAAGTGAATGGGACAGCGATGAACATGGGCGACGCAAGGGGATGAACCTTCTCCAGCTCAAAAATTACCCACCCACGCTCCAACCAGGCAAGACGAGCGACCGATGTTTTGATAGTATATGATGGCAGATCGACGTCATGAAGATGGACCTGTTGCCCTATTTGGACCGGCCGCCGGGGCTTTGCTGATATCAGCAGTGGCACGTGGTAGTCAACGGATCGGCGACGGAAGCGGATAGGAAGTGGTGACATCAGAAATGGTGGGGGTGCAAATAAAATGAGGAGGAGGAGGGTGGAGGTGACGAGGAGGTGAACTAAAATGGGGACCCAGAAACGACCGTCGGGTGAGAATAAAAAGGAGAGGAAGGGGCCCATGGTGGGGCTAGGCAAAGGAAGGGGTGTAAGGGAAACGACAAAAGCGAGGGCACAATGCAATGTGTAGCCAGTGGCGACGCGAAAATTTGCCAAAATGCCAAAACACGGAAAGTACCGAATGGAAAAGCAAAGGTGAGCGTGACTGGATTGCCTAATAGAGGTGGTGCTGATCAGCCACAAGTTCAAAAAGGGCAATATTAATTACTATTCCACGTGGCACTGTGCCTGTGTGGCGCAAAGGCGAGTCTTTTTGAATATTCGCTTCGTTATTGACACCTGTCCATGCTACCAATCAACTTTGGTGCATGACACCGAGGGGCCCTGATGATCTGTGTCTCTATTTCATTGTCAGTATTGCTCTCCCACAATAGCCGGTTCCTTGTTGTTTCTTGACAGATGGCGCTCAGACGACTTTGGGGCACATGCAATGTGCGTACCATCAATGGTGCCGATAGCACCTGAAAAAAATGGAAATAGCTTTGGGTTGTTTTGAATTTCGGGTGGAATGGAATCATTGGCAGAGGGTAAGTGTACATAGTCGGTGTGTATAGGTGCTGATGAAAATGCGAATAAAATCTCCTTGAAATACCTGTAAAATGGTGAAAAGCTGGTGCATTAGTAGATAAAACTTTACTCACTTTGAAAGGGTGTCATTTGCACGCTGGAAACACTCGCCAACATGCTTCAGAGTGAGCCCTGTGACGCACATATACAGGAAGACACACCCATCTTCTCCTGTAAGGTGACATGTTTGGAATTGGTATGGCCTGCTCGCCTCAACACCCTGATCAGCCCTTCAAATACATGCTTATTTACACCTAGCTCACTTTTGATCCTACCCGCATGTCCATTGATCAGCTCTTGGATCCAGCCTTGGCCTGACAGCACAGAAGTGTGGTATGGTGTCTTGTCGTACAGCGATTGAGAGTATAACACAATTGATTCGGAGGCGGTGAGTACAGCATGGTCTTCTTCGTCATCATCATCCATTGAGTCCTCATCATCCGACACCAGATACTCCAGTAGCATGAGACAGAGAGCTTTATCATCCATTGCAATATCTCACCCAGGCAAGCGACAATATTACTTCCATGTTTGGATGCCAAATCCCATTATCAAGGTTAGAGCTCTGACTTAAAAGGACAGCCACCATAGTTACGGGCGGTAATTTTGGGCACCCAAACCACATTGTTTGGATGTTCCCGTACATGCTCTTAGTTGGTAAAGCGCCAGACCATGAAAGCTGGAGTCCCAGGTTCAAGCCCTGGCCAATGCATGTTTTCTCATACTATAAACAAATGTCATAATTTGTCAACAAAATTTATCCACCAACTAGGCTCGTACCCAGCCAGGTCACTGGGTTTAATTTTGGTTACTAGCCAAAATTGTCTTCGAGCACACCCAGTGAACAGCTGGGACCGCTTGTCGCCATTTTGTGAGAAGGACAAATTCCTCACCAAAGATGAGGTGGGGACTTAATTGTAGGGACTCGAAAGCCATAAACCTTTTCCCCCCAAGTTACTATACAAAAAGGCAATTTTGTAACTCGTAGAACACATTGAATACAGGAAATTTTTGCAACTTTTTTTGCAAGTGAACTTTGCCAGAAAATGGTAGTGACAGCCACGACAACCTCACCTCAAATTTTTCCAAAAAATATCTATTAACAAAAAGTGATGAAGTCCCCACCTCATCTTTGGTGAGGAAGGAATTCATCCTCCTCACAAAATGGCGACGAGCGGTCCCAGCCTGCTCGCAAGCTCGCAAATTCATATCGGCAAATATGATAAGCGCGAGCTAGCCGAGCAGGTTGGGGACGAGCCTATCCACCAACCTCCATCACAGCGTGCGCGTGGACTTTCATTAGTGGCGGTCTTAACTTAGTGTATCCCGTAATGCTTTCTAACACTCTGAATATTACTCTTTTTTTCACTAATCTTAAACAGGAGCGCTGAGCCTTAGCCTGAGTAGGGTTCCAAGTATTCAGACTATGAAGAGCGCACCAATCTGGAACGTATTGAGAATCTTCCCGCTGCCTACAGGTGAAATGGAACTCGCAACTCAGTGCTAGTATTGCGGCTTTCTCGTCCAGCCAAATATCTATCCCAGGCCAAGATTCTGACCACGACTCACTGGAGATTCTCGACGATGGTGATCACATTCACTTTTGCTGTGATGCGAGCGACTATGATGGTGCTAGTACCAATGTAGTAGAGGGATGGGTCAGCGACCTGGTGAATCCAACTGTGAAGAGTGCTAATTGGCGATACTCAATCACCAAAATAATGTGGGTGACCTTACGGAGTATCGTCTTGTGCCAACCAAACAGCTACTCTCATAATATTTAAACCACTGGAAAGCTTACTGAGTATTCACCAGACCCCCTTCACTATACTTCCAATTCACCAGGATGTCGCTCATCGGCGGAATCTGTGAGTGTCCTTATCGCAACGACGCACTCCTTCTCCTGTTCACTTCATTTTAGATTCAATTGAGAATTCAGCTGTTCCCCTTGCCATCGATCTTTCTTCCGGTAATGACATTCGCATTCTCATATGTTGTCCGGCATCAGCTAACTTGTGGTCGTTGCCATGTTGTAATGCTGATCATCCAAGGTGGCTCAGCAGATGGTGAGTGAGCGTGGCCGTCATGCCTGATATAAATATCTCAACTCGTTTGATTCAGGTACAAAAGTCCAGGGTTGGGGGAAGTGGTTATTCTCCAACCCCAATTGCCTAGCTCAGCTCTGGCTGGTCACACCTACTGGAGCAACAGATGCTTTTACCTTACAGAATCTCCGAGGCGGCCTCTACCTTGACTTGCCCAATGGTAAGCCTGGCTGTTATGTTATGTAATAAAAAAGTGCTTCCTGGAGACGGATGGTTTACTCAGGTAGCAGCGCCAATGGTAACCCACTTCAAGGGTGGCAACGCGTGGGCAACAACCAGGTTTGGATCATTCGACAGACAGGCACATTTTACAAGTGAGTCTTTCCACTAGATACCTTTAGTCGGCCAAAGTCTGATGAAACTGGGGACCATTTAGGATGCAAAATTTGCAGGGTGGAAGTACGTGTTCCCTTCATTCCGTATTAATTGCACTCCGAGCTCCTGAAACTCGCGTGATCGTTCTGCCAGCGTTTGTCAATCTTCTAGATGGGTATGTCATCTTGACGTGTTTATATCATCCCAGGATTCATTAGTACTCTCTTGTCAGAAGCAGTAGCAATGGAACTGCCGTTGAGGGCTGGGCAGGCGAGTGGAATGACACTGCCAACCAGAGCCAACTCTGGTCATTCCAGCCTATGAGCCGGACAAGCGCAGAGGTCGACAACGCCCTTATTGCCAACCCTGTTCTCCAAGGCCACTTCGTCAACTATCAGATGAATGGGATGTAAGGCTTCCTCTTTCTCTTTTATATGCCTCCACGGGGTGATGTTGACTGGATATGATACCTTTAGATACTGGGTCCTCGACAAGGACCTCGTGAAAAATATATGGGCTGGTGCCAATCTTGGCGAAGGGAAGAAGTATACCTTGCGACCTGAGCTATTTGACCAGGACGACTTTACCCTCTGTGCATTATTTTTCCATGAGTGCATCAGATTGTCCATCACTAACAGCTCTTCAGCTTTCAAAGCGCAATTGGCTCAATGGGGAAGTGATAATATTCTGGCCAACGTAAGATCATCTGAGTATAACTATAATGAAATCACCTGAGCACTTAAACTCTGGACAGGGCCTGAACTTACTCCTCGGTGTGATGCTCGGAGTGTCTACGGAGGAAGGATCCGGTGGGCAGTCGTGCAACTTTTTCCTCGATAGCGACTTTTCGACCGTCCTGTTCTTTGAGTGAGTCCTCATATTCCTTTTGCGTGCCAACAGTGAAGCCCTTCCTGGGTTTCCCTTTCTTTTTTTGTTTCACAAGCTGATTCAATTTCATTGAAATAGTGCTCAAACAGGCAATTTACTCGTGCGTCGATGTTTGTTTTCTAGTATGGGCTTTGTTGACTTGGCTAAATAGGACCCGGGAGACATCACCACCCAGGTCACGGTGGGCTTCTTCTAGAGATCCTACTCTGAGGTTTTCGTTTGTATTTTATACTATCAGAACAAGCACCAATCTGGTCGCTTACAATTGAAATATTCTTGTGTTACTCATGATAATCACAAAAGACTTTGCTTTTGTGCAATTAGAAGGCAGACGGACCTCATCGGTTTGTCGACCAGGGGGCCGGACGTTGAACGGAGAGGATTTCACGGTTCGACGGTGCATATGCCTGATATGCTGTGAAAATCCCTCACTGGCCTCACGGTCCATACGTCATGCTTCGCTGATCGCTCTCCGGAACGATCACACGCGTGAGGACATGAATGATCAGAGCTGTCTATATGATGTTGTAGTTTGTGGTGGGTTAGGTTTTCAGGGGCGGGACGGAAACACCATTCGGGCTCTTCTTGGGTTGTACCAATGAGTCTTTGATAGTATAGCTAGCCAGCTATTCATGGCGCCTACATAAATCTGGGCAGATCACTGCAGTTGTCGTAATACACATCATACCAAGGCGATGAAAGCACAATTGTGTTATTGCCTAGATAGTCCGCTTTGTATTGCAATTGGGTTGGGTTACGGTTAATATGAAGTACAGTTGGCCAGACCTTGTTATGGTTATGCATTTTAGCGATGAGAATCCTTATGACTTTTGCTCGTGGCCACTAGTGGATAATGTGATAGAGCCACTGACAATTCGAAGTCCAAATCCAAAGAGAGTGCAATAGCCAAAGTAAACACGCTACTAGTAACTTGATCATCAAAAGAGCGATATAATATCAACGTAGAAGCATTAGAATAATGTGTGTAGAGTGTAATGTCAGATAATCCTATCAGACTGCCTAGTATCGCAAGAAAAACTCCCGCCAATCTCCATATTCTTATTTTCAGTTGTTGCTTGCCAGTATCCCTGATCTAGGTGATCGTGATCGTCTGGTTCAGAGTCTGGAGGTCGGGGGTCGGACCAGCCTGTGAGAAAAGAACGTCAGAGGGTCACGACAAGGTACTACAGAAATATCACAATGGACAGAAACACGCACGCCAACCAAATTCACATGAAGAATGTTGATCTGAGCAGTTCCTTTGGGCAACGAAGCAGGGATCTTCACAGAGATGTTTTGGTAATTGGGCAACTGAGGCTCGTGGGTCACGGGGTCGTAAGCCCCATTGTACAACATTTGACCAAAGATATCAGCAGGAGCGGCACAGGGTTGACTAGAGCACGACTGAATGCCAATAACGACAGCAACTTCTTCAGAGGGCGACTGAGAGTTCTACGGACGACGGTTCACCATTGGCAAAGGACGTGAGCATGAAGATGATTCCACTTACTGGCCTCTCGAGCTGAACAATCAAATCGCTGCCTGGAGCCACCGATGCACCTTGCACGGGGTTGGCGATTGCAATATTCTGGGCAAAAGCAGCTCCAGCGAAGAGAGCAAGGGAGATGATAGACTTGAACATGGCTCTATGGGGTGGATTTGGACTGAGCTAGAGAGAAGCAGTAGAAAGGAGCTGATGTTGAGAATACTAAAAACCTGAACCTTTTATACAGGGGACCAAATATAAGCGGTGCGTGTCAAAAAATGAGGATGACGCCCTTACGTTGTCGGTCTAATATTCCAACCGCAAATACGGTGATGGTGAGCCGGAGTGAAGCAAAATCAGTGGTCCATGAGAAAGAGACGCACTGAATTTCGGCTGGATATTTCGGGGATGGGTACGGTTCTTCCACAGCTGGGCGCATTACATCCTGTCGATCACAATCACAATTGATAACCTGTGAAAATGGGGTTGGGGACGCCTTTGTTCGTAAGACTGGCATAGAGCTTAAGCACGTTTCGATCCAACCGCTCGCCAGTCGCTAGAGCATGTTTGGAACGCTTAATCCGCCAAAGCTCGCGAATGTTCAAAGACGAAAGTGGATAACAAAAGCGAAAAATAATCCATCTTGCCGTGGTAACACCACCGCAGTTAAGAAAGCCGCGATGTTCAACTGTTTCAAGTTGTCGCAGCCACTCTGCAATCATCTTGACACAGGAGTTGTGTGGCGTGGGGACTTCCCTTTCGACTCGTAATAGGTGCATGTACAGGATGTAAAGGGAGTTTGGTCCGAAGCGGTTAAGAATGTGAGTGTTTACCTCTTATCCACCCAGTTGTTTTGTCACTTACCTTATTCGCGCAGGTCGAATGGATGTCAAGTGCTCAAACAGGCAAATTCCTGGTGCGTCGATGTTTGCTTTCTAGCATAGGCTTTGCTGACTCGGCTAAACAGGACTCGAAAGACATCAGCATCAGGTCACAGTGGCCTTCTTCTAAAGGTCGTGCTCCAACGTTTCTCAATGTCTTTTATACTATCAGAACAAGCACCAATTTGCAATTAAAATATTGATATGTTCGTGTCGCATGATATACAAAGGCCTTCAAAGGGTTTTTGTGCAATTAGAAGGCAGACGGACCGCATTAATTTGTCTAGGGGACTGGACGTCGAACAGAAAGGACTTCATCAGGATAAATGACCCCACTGAATTATGTGAAAGGCTAGAATACAAGTTAAGGTATAATGTCAGATAGAGTAATTAATAAAGAGGAGAAGATAACATACCCTCAATTAGAACAGAATCAACTGAGGGAAGAAGAAAGGACAGCGCAAATCGATACGCCAGGAAAAATAGACACTGGTAACTATGGCTAATGACCACATATATTGTGGGATTAGATATAATCAGCTACAATTCAGCCACTTACCTTCATAATCAGACAAGTTACACGGGGGTTGTGAGAGTGACAAGGAGTGGTTCACGATGGAAATGAGTGAAGTGGTTAGCGGTCAGCATCGGTGAACGAGTGAGCCGGGACATAGGTTATGTATGTGCAGACGGATGGAGTTGCTGTGAAGCGACCACGACGGAGTAGGCTTTGAATGCGGTATCAATATGGTACCCATGAACGAGCACGTTGAACGCTGGGCGTCGACAGTGGTGGGGGTGTGTAGTAATCCAAAAGCAATGAAGATATCGCACCTCGCCTGGGGCTCTTCTCTCCCTTTTACTGCAGTTGAAGAACTGTAGTTCTTCACAACGTAGTCAATGGAGTCATTGGCCTTCAAGCGAGTTACCAATCTCCAATCTGGGTGTGGGTGAGCGAGGATAGAAAATATGGGGGACAATGCGGAAGCATTGTTCCCTATATCTTTTCATACTCGCTAGTGAGCGTTGAGTGTAATGCGTAGGCGTGCGAGGACAACGGTAGGGTTACGACGGATGTGTACCGCCACGAGAATATCAGGAGTCGGTAACAATACTAACATGATCGGGACGAGTAAATAGCAACATCATCGTTCTTGACCATCGTTGATGCATCTTTCATATCGTTCGAATACCTATTTCAAGGACTCCAAATCAAACACAACAAAGACTGACCAGCAGTATCATGGGAGAATGCGGAAATGGGTGATTACCATGGGAGCATGGATGTGTAACGAGTGTGTTTCGCGCCCTCAATGTGATTTCAAGTAGGGATTAAGCTTGAAATTGTGCACAACGTTTTTTTGAACTTGAAGCAAAGGGTAGAAGTTGGGTAGAAGCGGTATCTCCGCGGAGTCTGAAATGACTGGGTTTCAGCTTTCAGGTTCATCTTCCTTTGACTCGGATTACGCATCGCTATCACATCTCATGGCCTATTCCAAGCAAACAGGCCCTAAGTTACCAAAACACAGGTGGTTTTATGGTCTTTCTTAACATCTGTATTGCAGGACTTCGCAGAAATATAATTTGAATTCAAGGTAGTCCTGGAGCTGGCAAGTCGGCAAATCGCAACCACACCACTTTGGTCTCAACCCAGAGCACGTCGTTTCTGGGGTCATTTCTTGTTACTTTGAGCAAATCCGGCCACTCTCTGATGTGCTGTAGCATTGGGTCTTGCCAATTTTAGTCCTAATATCCATTCTGCCATCTTTTGGAGCGTAGAAGAGTCCGAAGACCAACGGCCCCCTCCAGGTGGGTTGGAAATCTTTCTTTTGATCTGTTAATTTGGAATTATAGAACACCAAGATGTGATACTACGGGTAATTGAGATTAACTAGAAACAGTTTGAGATGTAACCATTTTCGAGCACTGGAGATCAAGATCATGATGAACATTGCCTTGTTTTAAATCTTCAATGTTCGCATGCTAACAACAGCACTCCTCACCGCCTTTAAAATGCATCGAGAGAACCAACTTGAATACACCCACTTCTCTTTCACTTGCACAAGTCAGATGTCTTCGCTATCAGAGCTGCATGAAAGATACTCGGAATACAGCTATTGGGGTACGTATTCTTCATTAGATCCATGTTTGCATTAAATAGTCAGTGTCATTCTTACAGGACTCCTTGTCGCAACTATGTTACCTACTTTAGCTGCTCGTTTCTGCATGAAAATTGAACCTTTGGCCAGTTTTCTAGGATGTACGCTTTTGCAAGGTTATTACTACTTCCACAATCACAACGATCGGTGGCCCATAAAGACACTGGTGAGTAACGATTTCGCTTCCAATGTCGTGATGCTCTTACTGTAGTGTATCAGGTTTCATTTATCATGTACGCAAAAAGCATAGTATAAGGACTTATTTCCCATCCAGCGTCCCGTTACAGCATCATTAACACATTGAATTGGATATTTTTGGCCAAAGTGTACTATATCTACATGATTTGTCTCCAGTCCATTATCAAAGGGCCAATCTTGTAAAATGAAGAATCCTTCAGGTTCAAATTTTTGACAATCCCTCTGCTATTACACGTCTGCCATGGTACGTAAAGCCAGTTTTCACACCTGCTGCCGCCTGCTGATTCTCAAGGTAGGGAATATACTGCAGAGACTGTCGCAACGTACATTGTGCAAGGGTCGTACGTGATCCTAGACTTTCCTGGTAGTAGACACCATTTTTGTTCATGTGCAACGACAGTCAATAGAAAGAGTTGGATAGTGGCTTCGATTATGGTCAGCATTTTTTGCAGACATTGGACAGGTACTGTTTTTACGTTCACTCTAGGTCTTTTTTGCGCTATGTGGTTTAGGTAGGTGCCACGTGCAATCCACATATAATATATGGGCTTATTTTCTTTCTTTCTTTATCCTTACAGGTTTAGGGATGGGTAGGTCGCGCTGTGTCATGTAATGTGATATCCGTATGATCAATGTCATATGGCTTTAGCCCTTTCTAGTATGCTGGCGCAACACTCATCCGTCGGCCTTGCATATACTGGCACTAAAACTTTTGATGTATACCACGGTCTATACATTGTGATATTCTGACTCCAGCGTTCTCAGATTATAGGTAATATGTGTGTCGTTACACCGACAATATGTGATTTTGTTGCAACAGCCTCAATGTTGCGCTTTCTGGGTGACAAGGCGACAGTATTCAAGAAGTAAGTATATTCCACATTCCTATGGTGTCCTTCATCCACTTCGTCTTCTACTACCCAGATGAGTACTAATTAACATTTTTATAGGACAAGATGCACCATCAAATCAATACAATTCCTGGTGCTCAATCGTGGAATATTCCTGATGACTTTCCAAGGTATATATCTAGTCACCTGGGTTGTGGGAGAAACCCACTGGTATTGGTATGCATCATTTACTCAATGTGATTGTGCGCTAATGAACCATGATGCATGGATAAAGGATGCCTTTCCATATGATCCTCCCTAGTGTATATGCTAATACCATGCGTGAGTTTTCAACTAATTTTTTCATCACTGTAAACATACTATTGACTATGCCTGATTTTCAGTGGTCTTGTGAGTATATACATTATTTACATGGCGTCCTCTTGGTTGGTCGCTGATATTTCTGATGCCAGATTAAACGAGCGTGCAAATATCCGAGGAAGAGAGAGCATTAACGAGACATTGTCTATCGATCTTACAAGCCATCTCCCACAACCGTCGGAGTCCAACATTTTTTATTCATCACAGCTGTTGAGCATGGCTAGCTCACCCGAGCCAGCCTTGAATTCAAAATCAAAAGTAGGTTCAAAACACGTTTGTTTTCCTGGAAGAAACGCTGAACCCTCTGCTTTTGACACAATCACGGACCAAAGGTCAATCACGACTGCATGGACGGACCTACTGCAACCACTGTAATATTTGAAAGAGATTCTGCCAACCATCTTGACCTACCGTGATGTCCTTGCTGGTAGCCAACACAGGGGGGTGAAAAAACATTCCTGTGTTTTATTGTGAACTGTTCTTGATTGCTATAGGTTGTTTGAATCTGAGCAAGTAGTATCTGAGCGGCGGTACATATACATCACTAAACGGAAGTGTCTATGCTAAGGCCTCATTTTATCAACTAATGTTTACAAATATTCCTTGACTTTGTCATCCTTTGCATCCTTTGTATGTCAATATTATCACACCACCGCAGCTATATGATACTAATTAGTATATATACTGTATGTGAGCAAACCCAGTCAAAACTTTGCACATCATATTGTAGTGCTGATGTGTTGTAGAGTCTCTATGATATTTGAGTGATCACAATCTGGTCCAAGTACCCAAGTGTACCAAAAAAAATGATTACCTTTCCCAGTTTCTTGGGAAAGAACAGTGGCATCAGTGTGGTGCCAGGGGTTTATAATATTGTATAGTTCCAAGTGTAGTGTGCTGGAATAGAATAGATTTGAAATACTTATGAACTATAAAAATAAAGGAATCTACTCAGTATGTGGATAGAAGACTGAATTGCTGATAAGTACCTATAAAATAAAGGAATCTACTACGGTAATATCAGTATTATTCTATGGGTATTTATAGGTATGAATTCTTACCTCAGTCTGTGGATAGAAGACTGAGGTGCATGAGTGTCTGGACAGTGAATGTGTATGGCAGGTGGGAATAGTTCTGATACTAATATGGCATAACTTTCATGTGTGTGTCAGGAAAGCACCACAGTGAGACTTGTTGAGTTAGGATCATATTGGTGTATGATTGACTCATTCACAACATGGTTATCTAAAATATTTTACATTGTTTCACTCAACAACGGAGAACTTGTTACAATACACAATTTTGGACCTTTAAATTTCATTCTTCATTTTAACTTTCTTTTGTAGTTTTCACACACTGTGCCATGCAGCACTTTCCATTTTGTTCAAACTTCACTTTCTCGTGCTGCACTGCTTTCCTTTATACTTAGCTACAAGTCTCTCAGTGGAGCTGGTCACACGGGCTGTGCCCCTAGATATCCTTTATCCTTACAACATAGTACTTCATTTACAGTGACTCCAAAAACTGTTGCAATGTTTGGCCTAAACACGGTGCGCAAAGCGCGCCACTAACAGGCATAGGAATGTCGCTCAACTTTGGTGGGGTCAACAAAAGTACTTGGTCTTGGCTACAAAATGGTTCCTGGGTCATGTGATTCAGCCCAGCAGCTGTGGAGATATGTCCATTTCAAAACAGTAATTGTAACAACCAAGAGTTAGTTACTCTGGTGAACACAAGAACACACTATAAAGGTAGTGATGGGGGAGTGGTTACCCCTTAAGCTGCAGAGAGTTTGTTGGTTAACAACAGGAGGACTCGCTGAGGAGTCTCCTTGATCTATTGGAGTATTTATACTAATACAGAGTGTTTGTACCTATGTACTGTACAGTTGATAAGAGCAGTGGCTGATGATGTCAGAGGGTGCAGCCCGTGTGACCAGCTCCACTGTGTGAGAGAGTTTGTGTCTAAAAGAAGAATAAAGGCAGCGCTGCGCGAGAAGGTGGAGTTAGAACAAAAAGGAAAGTGCCACATGGCACAGAGTGTGAACTATAGTAAAAGGTTAAAGCGGAGAATGAAAATTAAAGGAAAGGTCCGAAAATTGTGTTATTGTAACACTACCCCCCTTCTAAGGCTCGACTTCCAGGCTCGACCAAATACCGGAGGTGGTAGTTAAATTTTCGGGCATAGTTTGAAAAAGGGAATTAAAAAGTTTTGAATCCATGCCTCTAAGCTTCCTAGGAGCTGAGGGGTTTTTAGAATAAAATTTGCGAACAGTGTTGCGGGAGTTATCCAGATGGGCTTCTGGCTCCCACGTTCTGTCCTCGTCTCCATAGCCTTTCCATAGGACTAGGAATTCTAATTTACCATGCTTCAAGCGTGCATCCACCACCCGTTTGACTTCAAATTCTTCTTCACCTTCCTGGCTGACTACAACCGGTCCGGTCTGGTCTACACGCTGTCCTGGCAGCAGCCCTTTGTAGGGTTTCACACGGCTAATGTTGACCGTGGGTACTACCCTCATTCGTTTTGGGAGTTCCAGCTCCACTGCATTGGGTTTGACTTCCTTAATCCGGTAAGGGCCAATCCACTTCTCGGTCAGTTTTCTAGACTGCCAATCTTTTAACTTTAAGTGGTCGGTATCTAACCAGACCAGGTCGCCAACCTTGTAGTCAGGGGCCTTAGAGCGTCTATGCTCTGCCCTGTTTTTCATCTGCTCTGCAGTTTTGAATAGTGCCTTGCGTGTTTCGTCCAAGACAGATTTCATGTCCTTGGCCATGTTCTCAGCAGCCTCATTCTTGCTTTTACCAGGTTCTACACCCATTCTGGGGAGGTACGATCTAGTAACCTCAAATGGTGCCTTTCCTGTAGCCAACGACTGTTTGATATTATAAGAGAACTGGGCTATCTTTAGCCACTTGGCCCAATCTGTCTGCCTGTCATTAATAAATATACGGAGGTATTGCTTCAACTCCTGGTTGAGTCTCTCCATTTGTCCATTGGTCTGCGGATGGAACACCGTTGATAACTTAGGTTTGATGCCCAGCATCCGGCATAATTCTTTTGTAAATTCGCTAGCAAAATGTGGCCCTCTATCGGAGATATCCGTTTCGGGTAACCCATGGATAGACCATACAAAATCTTTAAATAAATCTGCCGTACCAGCGGCGGTAATGGTTTTATTGGTGGGTATGAATACCACTTCTTTGGAGAAGCAATCTACTACCACCATTACTGAATCATACCCATTTAACTCGGGCAGATCCATTGTGAAATCAACCGATATATCTTGCCAGGGACCAGCTGGTATTGGATTTGGCATAAGTTTACCGGCCAGCGGTTGGTGAGAATTTTTAGCCATGGCACATCTCAGACAGGATTTTACGTATTCCTGTACTTCTTTGACCATGCCAGGCCACATATAGTTTCTGGAGATCAACTCCATTGTTTGTTGCCACCGAGGGTGCCCAGCCACTGGAGTGTCATGATGTCTATCTATTGCCTTGATCCTTGCGGACTCAGGCACATAGATTTTGTCTTTAAAATGGAAGAGCCCGTTTTCCCATAAATAGTTTTCATTGCCATTAAGGCGCGCCTTCTCTTCTGAGGAGATCTCTTTCTTGAAGACTTCCAGAAGATCGGAATCCTGCTCGATTCTAACATTGGCAACCCTTGATTGGTCTATCAAGGTAACACCTTTGTTGTCATCTTCGATGCCGTTGGCATGATCCTCTCTTCTGGACAAAGTGTCCGCTTTCCCCATAGAACTTCCAGGCTTATGAATTAATTTATAAATAAACCTAGACAAGTACACCGCATAGCAGGCCTGTCTTTGGTTCAAGTCTCAGGCCGTCATAAAATACTCCAGATTCTTATGATCGGTCCAAATTTCAAATTGGTGTCTTGCACCTTCTAAGTAGTGCCGCCAGTGCTCTAAGGCTCTAATGATGGCTAGCATTTCTTTGTCGTAAATTTGATAGTTACACTCTGTAGGCAACAAACTATGTGATAAATAAGCACAAGGCCTCCAAAGATCATCAGGACATTTAATTGATAGAACAGCCCCAGTAGCAAAATCAGAAGAGTCGGTTTCTAGCCGGAACTCTTTGTCTAATTCTGGAAATGCTAATATGGGCGCTGTGGTAAATGCCTGTTTAAGCTTATCAAAAGCTTCTTGTTCTTTGGCGCCCCAGTGCCAAACAATATCCTTTTTAGTGAGATTGTTCAACGGTCTCGTGATTTTTGCGAAGTTTTTGATAAACCTTCGGTAGAAATTTCCTAAGCCAAGGAAGGCCCTAACTCCTTTTACGCGAGTAGGTTCTGGCCAGTTCAATATGGCTTGAACTTTCTCAGGATCCATCCTGATTCCGTTCTGGCCTATGATCATACCGAGGAAGTCTACTTCCTTCACTTTAAAATTCCATTTTTTGGGTTTGACGAATATGTCCCGTTCCTGTAAGCGTCGAAGGACCTCTTGCACGATCCTGTCATGCTCAGCCTCATCATCCGACTTCGTAAATATTGACAAATCATCAATGTAAATGACAACACAGTTTTCCATATCCGCAAAAATCTTGTTCATCATGCTCTGGAAGGTTGCCGGTGAGTTGGTCAACCCAAAAAAACATAACGAGGGGTTCAAAGGATCCTCGGTGGCATGTGAATGCGGCCTTCCAAGCATCTGCTTCTTTGATTTGTACATTGTTGTACCCCCATCTGAGATCCATCTTTGTAAAGATTTTGATGCCCACCAATTTGTCTACTAGCTGACTGATTAAACGCAGCGGATACGCCTTTTACACGTGTGCTCATTCACGTAACAATAGTCCATAATCATACACTTCTTACCATCCTTTTTAGGAATGAAGAACACTGGGGATGTTATAGGGCTTTTGGAAGGTCTGATGTAACCCTTCCTAAGCTGTTCATCTATGAAACTTGAGACCTCATCTCTTTCTGGAGCAGAGAGGGGAATCATGTGTCCTTTTCTCGGTTTGAAAGTGTCCTTCAAATCTATTGCATGGTCCCAAGGCTTAGCCTCTGGGAAGCACTCTGATTTATGTTTTGAAAAGACTTTCCAGAAGTCATGGTACTCGGGAGGTACCAGCCTCTTAATCTTTTCCTCGGGTTTTACCTTGTCATCGTCATCGTTGATCTTTTCAAAAGATCTGAGCTCATAAACGTGACCAGTGTTTATCTTTTCAAGACGCTCATTGTGATGGACGTGATTTGGCTTACCCAAGTTCACACATTCCTGAGGGCAACGTGACAATGTGACAACCCCTGTCTGCCAGTTGATCTCAGGATTGTGTTTAAATAGCCAGGTCCAGCCCAATATTAAAATAACCTTCCCTAGTTGGGTAGCTTTGGCGGTGACTCATTCTCTGTGTCCTTGGTATTCGACAACAAAAGAACATTTGTGCGTGATGCAGCCACCTGCGTTAAGCGTACCGTCAACGTTATAGACGGGAATAGATACATCTAATTTTACAAGGGGGAGTCCAATTTGCTCCGCCCAGACCTGATCTATGAAGATTTTGTTAGCGCCTGAATCAAGCAGCGCACTGGTTGGGTGTACTATGCCCCGGGCAAGGTTTTCCACACCAACATCTAGACAGATCTCCTTTTGGAATAAATATGTGCGCATCAACGCACACCTTGGGATTTCAGGAAAGGGTGGCTCTTACAAAGAGGAAGTATCGAAAGAAACATGTTTTTCTATTTTATTTTTACCAGAATCAAGCACCCTATTGTTTGTCTCGCTGGGGCCATGCTCCAAGGGAGACGCTGTCATGCACCAAAGTTGATTGGTAGCATGGACAGGTGTCAATAACAAAGTGAATATTCAAAAAGACTCGCCTTTGCGCCACACAGGCACAGTGCCACGTGGAATAGTAATTAATATGCC